TTTCTGTGAGCGAAAGATGGGTTAAATTTTTCTCTCTTTAATGATCTGTGTTTTAGGTCCGTATCCCTACTTCACCATGATCTTTAAGGAGCTGAAGATGGAGGGATTCTTGCAAAGTAGGTGGGAGCACAAGCACCCTGAGACCCTCAAGAGACTGTTAGCATGGGTGAAAGAGGTTAGTGTGAGCCTTTCCTTCAAGTAAAGATGTAAACATCAGTTACCTGTGTTTCTGTTTTGATGTATTGTATTTGTGATTTGTGTATTGTGCGTCCACAGGGCAAACTGCAGTGTCGGGAGCACGTCACAAAAGGCTTTGAAAACATGCCGGCTGCTTTTATGGGGATGCTGCAGGGAGAAAACACCGGCAAGGCCGTCGTCGCAGTCTGAAGAGTTCAATGCAAGAGAGCCAGCATTACTAATAACTGCCATTATTACACAATCTATGAATTAATGAAGCAATAAACATAGAACAAAATAATTTTACATTAACATTTCAGCTCTTTGAGTAGTTTTGTAATCACAGAGTTTTGCCTGTGATTGATAGTTGTGTCTTTTGTCATGTACTTGACATCTGGCAACATCAGCATCAGTTTGCTTAAGTTGTACGTTTTGGTGACTTACTTAACAACACGACCACCAATGAATAAAAGAAGAGATGATAATTCCAGACTCAGGGTTCTTATCCCGTCATTACAGCGAGTATCTGTGTGTGCAGTGCAGATCTGTTCTGCTGTATTAATGCCCTGTTCACAGTGACATGATCAAAGTTCTTTGTATGCACAGGGAGCGAATAATAAAACATTTTAATTTTGATTGAATCAACATGGTGTGTGGCGCGCTTTATCTTTGAGACTGCGGTTAGCTGTAAATCGGAGGTGAATGGAATAATTATATGTGCTGCTTTTAAGGGCCTGCCTGGTCGATGGGATTCAAGTTGTGCATCAGACATAATAGCACTAACACTTAACATCTGCTACCAATTTTAGCCTTTTGTCAAGGCTTCGGTGAAGTTTAGCTCCATGGTTACACAATCTCTTTCATCCATTTAATCTCCAGAAGAGTCTATGTTCCTACACTCTGCTTCTATGAAACTCCCTAATGAGTAGGGATGGGTATTGATAAGATTTTCACGATTCCGATTCCATTTTC